ATTTTCCTCATACAGTGATGTATTGTGACCGGTTTTGATTATATCTCGATACCCGTATATGATACATCTCTTGTATTATGAAGATATTCATTTTCATTCATACTTTTCTACCATTTGTTCAACATGAGAATAACCGATTCAATATATATAGTAGTATATATATAATATATATATATATATATATAGTATATATATTACAATATATATACTATATATATAATTTAATATATATATATATATATATATATAATAATATTATATATAATATATATATTAATATATATATAGTATATATATATATATATATATATATATATATATATATATATATGCATATATATATATATATATATATATATATATATATATATATATATATATATATATATATATATGTGTGTGTGTGTGTGTGTGGTGTGTGTGTTGTGTGTGTGTGTGTGTGTGTGTGTGTGTGTGTGTGTGTGTGTGTGTGTGTGTGGTGTGTGTGTGTGTGTGTGTGTGTGTGTGTGTGTGTGTTGTGGTGTGTGTGTGTTGTGTGTGTGTGTGTGTGTGTGGTGTGTGTGTATACATATATATATATATATATATTATATAATATATAATAATATATATATATATATATATATATAATATTGTGAACATCACACACACACACTTGCATGTGCATGTGTGTAATGTCTTACAGTCAGTAGCATATTTGAATCCCATTGATTTCTCTTACATGACATTACTCTTCCAGTATAATCTTTAAAGACACACACAGATAAATGAATAAGGCAAACCTAGCCACTGCATTCCAAATAAACCAACATGGACGGCAGATGTTTCTTTTGTTAAACTCAAACGACATTTAGCGAGTTGCAAAAGTGATTTGTGTGTCAGTTGCATTATTCACAACTCCCTGCGCTTCCAGTTCGCTCTTAACCAGACATCGCTGTAATGACAAGAGGGAAGCGTTGTGGTGCGAGGTTAACAGGTTTGTTTATGTTTGTGCATAAACAAGGTGCGATCGGCGGATGTGTGTTTCTGTGGGTGTATGTACATACATACATAAATTAATATATATAATATATATATATATATATATATATAATATATATATATATATATATATATATATATATAATATATGTAATATATAGATGTACATATATGGATATAGATAGATAGATAGATAGATAGATAGATAGAAGATAGAGAGAGAGAGAGAGAGAGAGATAAAGAGAGGAACAGCGAAAGAGCGAGAGAATATTACCCCAAGCAGCGTTCCCCTTTCACCCAACCCCTGTGCTACTATAACTAATATTCATTTGATACTCGCAATTAAAACAGTTATTTCTGCAAGCATAATGGCTAAATAAATTCGAAGTTATTGTTGCGCAGAATCTGCCATTTACTGAGTAAGCCGACTCATTTGCATAGTGTCGATTATATGTCCATTATGTGCATTATTTTTACCTTATCAGTTCCTTTTCCTTCGGATGATAAAGACAAATAATAGAAAAGATATGAATCATATGATATACAGCGCACGGAAGAGCTATTATTAAAGTAATAATAAAGATAATGATAACAATAAAATAAAAAATAATAATGTGTGGGAGGGTAATTTTTAATAGTATTGATAATAGCAATAATAATAATGATAAAAATGGTCATAGTGATAATGGTGATAATCATAGCAACGCAACAAAAACTATGTGGCATTAATAACAGTAATAACAAGAATGATAATGTTAATGATAATGATAATGATAATAATAATGATAATAATAATGATAATGATAATAATAATGGTAATGGTAATGGTAATGGTAATGATAATGATAATAATGATAATAATAACGATGAATGTAATAATAAGGATAAACTTAATGATAATAAAGATAATATCATCATTGTTATCAATGACAATAATGACGACGACGATGATGATGATGGTGATTTTAGTAACTAAGAATAATGATTATAATGATATTAATAATGATAATGATGATAAATAGTGATAATGATGAAAATCATCATCATCATCATCCTCATACCAATAATAATAATCATAACAATGATTATAGATATGATGATGATACTACTACTACCACAACTTCTACTGCTACTACCAATAACAACAATAGTAAAAGAAAATAATGATAATGATACTACTATTACTACTACTAATACAATAATGCTAATGCTGAGGATAATAATGATAATGATGCTACGAGAGCAAGAGATTCCCCTTCCGGCGGCCCCAAGTCTCGAGGCGCCAGGCCCGCAGACCCACAGACCCGCAGACCCGCAGACCCGCAGACCCGCAGACCCACAGCAGACCCGCAGAGCCACAGACCCGCAGACCCACAGACCCGCAGAGACCGCAGACCCGCACGACCGCACCGCAGACCCGCAGACCCACAGACCCGCAGACCCGCAGACCCGCGCCCAGACCACAGACCGCAGACCCGCAGACCCACAGACCCGCAGACCCGCAGACCCACAGACCCGCAGACCCGCAGACCGCAGACCCGCAGACCCACAGACCCGCAGACCGCAGACCCAAGACCCTGACCCAGCCGCAGACCAGACCCACAGACCCGCAGACCCGCAGACCCAGACAGACCCACAGACCCGAGACCCCAGACCCGCGACCCGCAGACCACAGACCCGCAGACCCGTCCCGCGACCCGCAGACCCGCAGACCCGCAGACCAGACCCGCGACCCAGACCCGCAGACCGCAGACCCCAGACCGCAGACCCCACAGACCCGCAGACCCGCAGACCCGCCGAGACAGACCCGCCAGACCCGCAGACCCACAGACTCCGCAGCCGCAGACCCACAGACCCTGACCCGCAGACCGCAGACCACAGACCGCAGACCCGCAGACCCCAGACCCACAGACCCGCAGACCGCAGACCCGCGCGCCGCTGTTCTCGTGGCTCTCCGCGCCCCGAGGAAG